CACCCACACCCACACCCACATCCACACCCACATACACCCACACTCGCACGCGCACCCTAACATTTCATATGTATTGAATGATGAGTAGAAGATTTTTTTCTCATATTGACCATATTCAGTCTTGGGTTGAAAACAAAAACATTGCAATGAAATCTTTAGTTGGAAATGGTCATCTATTTGTTAAAATTGAGTAATTCTTTTACAAGTTATGAATGATTCTCAGGTAAACTGTAGACATGTTTATTTTCTTAATTATTTTCAAAGATAGAAATCGAAGTATGGATTTATCTAAAATTTAATTACACTTTTTTTTATTATGGTAATATCCATCCGAAAGGTACAACTTCATTTCTAAGTTAATCGATCATTCGTCTTTACTCTTTAAATCGGATTCACTACTTTAAAATAAACGAATCATAGTTAAAATTATTATGTAACTTCATATTTTTCACTTTCACTTCAGTTTAAACAACAATAACACAACATGAAAACACTTTTTTTAAATATTATTAGAAGTTCGTGCTTGATCTTACTCATTTATGTCGCTGGTGATATAATGTTTCTCCGGCCGCCATGTATTCTTTTTATTAAAGAAGTTTTCAATGGTTCTGTAAGTTGCAAAACAGCAATCAATATACATGCTACTGATGCATAGTCAAATGAAGCAGCAATGCGAAAATGATATTTTGGTGCACTATTGAAAAACGACATAATAATAAAGGTTGAATAAGGAAAACCAAGTGCTACTAAAATAAATACAAGTGAAAGTATACGCCGAATCATTGTTAATTCTCGTTGAGCGTGAAATAATGTATTAGCCGGAATCACATGTTTACTCATTTCCTGTACATATCGAACCATTTTTAAATAGATTATTATTATACTTAAGATGGGAACAAAATAAATATGAAATACATTGGATATCATTAGAAACGAAAGTCGAAGAGGCATTTGACATATTTGATCTTCAACACTATACATTACTTGACCAGTCCATATTAACGCAATAGCATAGATAATATAACAAATCCATGTTAAGCTAATGAGAAAAGCTTGAAATTTAACTGATTGATAGAATAACTTAGATGGATAAACAATTAATGCATATCTATAGATTGCTTGTAATAAATAAGAATAATTTTGTATTCCAACTGATAAATAACTTATACCGCCCATTAAAATACAAAATGTATCATACGAATAATTTTGTTTCAGATCTTTGTAAAATGTGAATAGAGATATTGCTAAAATATCACATCCAAATAGAAATTCAGCTAAACATGAATTTGTAACAAATATCATTGAAACTGTTTGATATAGTTTGTCAAATATAATAACTGATAATAGGACAATACCAAGTAAAACAGCAATTACACATGATATCATATTTAAAATATCAATAGGAATAAACCATGATTGAAAATCTATGGTAATTGAGTTATTGTCAAGTGTCATAGCTTCTGTTACAGAAAAAGAAAGGAAACCACATGTGAAATAAGCTAATAAAATATATGTCAGTCAAAATTGGAATTCAGTCAAATTGTAAAGGACGGAGGACGTTTTAGGTGCATTTTGACCCAAAAAACAAAATGAAGGCAGATTTACCTGACACTTTCAGCAGTTACTCAACTGTATGTTAGTAGTTATCGCTCAAAATTTCAGCTTGATTTGTTGAACTTTTCCTTTACTTCGATCCATGAAGAACATAGACCCTAAATACACGTAAGAGTGCCCTATACGGGTAACCTTGTGGACCATCGTTCTCCACTATATGATTCAAACCCAGAGTGATTTTTCTAGGGTCAGTAGGAATCAGTAGGAGCTACAATATTGCAAGGACATGAAGTCCAGAAAAGACCTGCCTTGGTATCATTATGAACTACATAGTCCCCAGAGTCCATGAAAAAGTGCCTTAGAGGTAACCTTGTGGACCTTCTTTCTTCACTATATGGTTCAGACGCAGAGTTATTTCTCTAGGGTGACTAGCAGAGAGTAAGGACTACAGTATTGCAAACACTTGAGGCTGACAATGGAACCGTTTATCATGTCAGACGATT